CAGCAAGATGTAATATAAAATGAATTTGTTCTGGACATAGTTCAGCAGTTTGGACCTAAAAACCAAATCAACAATTTTTATAAAACAACGTTTTATGAGGGAGTGGTCAAATCAATTTAGAGGGTTATAATTATTATTTGAAAATGAAATAGATGGAAGAGAATTGCAAATATTAGCATACACTGCACAAAGAAAAAGTGCATACTTTGTGAGATTCATAGCAGTTTGTGAAGTGCTGTTTCAATTATATCTACCTATGTTCATACTGGATTGAGACTGAAAATATACTTCTTTCCCTGGCTGGTGTAGCTCAGTGGATTGAGAGTGGGGCTGCAAACCAGAGGATCCCAGTTTGATTCCCTGTCAGGGCACATGCCTGGGTTGTGGGCCAGGTCCCTGATGGGGGGCGTATGAGAGGCAACCACACATTGATGTTTCTCTCCCTCTCTCCTTCCTTCTCTTCTAAAGAAAAATAAAATCTGTAAATATATAGATGCTTCTCATTATGAATAGTGGGACCAGAAAATTTGAAAAACACTACAAAAAGCTATCTTATTTATGGATAAGTAGATTATAAACTGTCCCTTTATTCTTTTTCATCCTTTTTGTACCTGGCATCTCTCCAAATCTAAAGATTTTATTTATTTATTTATTTTTTGAGAGAGGGGAAGGGAAGAAAAGAGAAACATCAATGTGCGAGTACCTCTTGCACACATACCCCCACCACCACCAGGCTGGCAACCCAGGCATATGCCCTGATTTGGAATCAAACTAGTGACCCTTTGCTTCACAGTCTGGCGGCCAATCCACTGAGCCACACCAGCCAGGGCTCAAATTTAAAATATTATTTAAAAGTTCTAAGGGTAGTTTCTTCATAGTCTACATAAAATGAATTGACTTATGCTACACTATCTTCTCCCCAAGGGAGATCAAAATATGACCATCCAAAGCTGAAAAGACTGACTCACGTCTAAACTGTTAGACTTTTTTACAAAAATGATTTATTTTAATTGTTGTTCAAGTAGTTTTCTGTCTTTTACTCCCATCCCAGGCCACCCCCCAAATGCTCCCCACCTCCCTCCCATTTCCATCCCCCTTAGTTGTTGTCCATGTGTCCCTTTATACTTGTTCCTGCAAACCCTTCCCCTTTTCCCCTGAAATTGAGAAAAAAAAATCCCAAGCACAACCAGAAATCTGGCCAAGAACCAGAAATTTTAAAATGAAACTTTAGACATTTGAAACTAAAAGTGGAAAGAAACCTCCTGGAGGTAATAAGGAAAACTACCAACTCTACAGCAAGCATAATTAATACCTAGTAGTACACTATTAGAAGCATTGCCACTCAAATAACTACCCTAGAGGGAAACCTAGCCACTAAGGCAAGTCAACAAAATGAGGAAAAATCATTGAGGGAAGGGGTTCCTAAGTTATTGCCATTTGCAGACGGTTTGAATGTCTACCTTCAAAATCTAAGAAAATCTACTGAAAAATTATGAGCTAACAAAAGTTCAGCGACATGCCTTGAATATGACAGATCTACAAAAAGTTAGCCTTTCTATATAGTAGTATAGTAATTATGAAATGGGAAAAAGGATACAATTTCTAAAAGCAATAAAACTTACATACACAAAACAATCTAAGAATTCACATCACAAGATTATGTAATACCTAAAATGTGGTATTCACATAAGGATGGACATACACTAAACATACAGATTAATGGAACAGAATAGAGTTCAAAAATAAACTCATACTTACACAGTCTATTAATTTTTGACAACAGGGTCTAGAGGATACAATGGGGAGAAAGTACAGAATTTTCAACACATAGTGTTGGGACATCTGGTTATCTACATAGAACAAAAGTGAACTTTGATCTATAAAAATTTACTCAAAATGAAGTTATAAACTCACATAAATGATAAAACTATTGGGTTGGCCAAAAAGATTGTTTGGTTTTTTTCTGTAAGATGACTCTAGTAGCACTTAGTTGTCTTTAACTTCATTTAAAACAATTTTGTTAGACTGTATTGTGACAGCTGTCATATGAGTGTACATTAAAAAAACTCATCTAAATTGGTGAATTTTTGTGTAGCCATTTTAATATTGAAGATGGAAGGAAAAAATACAACATTTTTGGCATATTATGCTTTATTATTTTAAGAAAAGTAAAAATGTAACTGAAATTCAAAAGAAGATTTTGTGCAGTGTGTGGAGAAGGTGCTGTGACTAATTGAACATGTCAAAAGTGGTTTGTGAAGTTTCATGCTGGAGATTTCTCACTGGACAATGCTCCTCAGTCGGGAAGACCACTTGAAGTTGATAGTGACCAAATCAAGATGTTAATTGAGAAAATCAACATTATACCACAGGAGAGATAGCCGACATACTCAGAATATCCAAATCAATACAGTTATTCTTGAATATGAAAAATGTCTCTTATTTTATGGAAAAAAACTAAATGAACTTTCTGGCCAACCCAATATAAAATGCCAAAAAGAAAGTACAGGAGAATGTCTCAGAAAATGTGAGGTAAACAAAGATTTATCTAACAGGTTAGTTAAACAGGTTTATCAATAGAAGAAAATAACGTGATGAATTGGATTTTATAAAAATGTAAAAGATCTGCTTTTCAAAAAAAATCACTAATTCTACTTTGTATAAGTCAAATAAAGTAGTGCGGCCACCTGAGAAAAGTTTGGCAGTTCTTATAAAGTTAAATTTACCACACAATATAGCAATCTTACTTCTGGTTATTTACTTGAGGAAAATGAAAATTATGTTCACACAAAAATCTATATGTGAATGTTTATATTGGCCCTATTCATAATCACTGAAAATTGGTGAATGATAAATAAACCATGAAATATTATTCAGCAATGAAAAATGATCAAATTATTGGTTCATCCAACAACAGGGATGAATCTCAGATGCATTGTGCAAGATGAAAGAAGCCAGACTTGGAAAGCTTTATCCTGTATGAATCTATTCACAGGACATTCTGAAAAAGACAGATTTATAGGGACAAAACAAATCAGTGGTCGTCAGGGACTGAGAGTTATGGGAGGGATTGACTGACTACAAAGGCTCAATAAGGAATTTTTTTGGAGTGATGAAGTTCTTCTCTATGTTCTAAAAGGAGTGGATGTTATTATAAATAAATTATACCTCAATTTTAAAAACATGGAATTGATTCATGAATTAATTAGGTAGATTTATAAAATGGAACAGTGTTCATAGATTCTGACTTGATTGAGGGAATTTATTTTGTGATAATTTTCCCCAAGTGTTTAGTTTATTTCTGAACTTCCAGTATCCTCCATCTCATACCATGACCCCAAAATGTTTCATGTGAATTAAAACCCCACATATCTTTAAGACCATAAACATTTTTAAAAGATCTAAAAGAAAAATGTTTTTCTCTATCTTGAGGTAGCGAAGGCCTTTCTGAGTCAGGCATAAAAACTAGCTCCCAAGCTTTTTACTAAAGGCAGAATCTCTCCTTTCTGTGATTGAAGTTATTAACATCACAGAAACACATCCCCTCCCCCCTTTTTAATTGAATAGTGTTCTTCCCAGTTTGTAGCAAGTATTCGAAAAGTGAATTGGCACTCTCAGAGAGCAAAATGCAAAAATGTATTTGTTAGTTTCATGTGAGTAGTGAAGGCACCAGGACCTATAGTTATGCCCCATTTCTGAGTCCCAAACCAGGTACTGTCACACCACAGCCACACCAGAGTCCCCAGAGTGACCACGTTGGCCATGGAAAAGCAGCTTCTTTACTGGCTCTCCCTAACACCAGAGCAAATTCACTTTGCCATTTCTGGAAGGCTGTTCATGGTACCAAAAACATAGTGGCTCTTCTTTCCCTGCTAAACCTGCCAATGAAATTCCATTTCTCAGACTTACTCTCCCTCTACAGAACAAAATCATATCCATAATTAAAGTCCTTTTTTTTTTCTTTTCTGTGTTTCCTTTCTTTCCCTAGAAAAGTACACACAACTGGAGTCCATGGGTTTGGGGCAAGAATTATTCATGGAGAAAACAGGGATGCTGGCCCTACATTTCTTCGGTGTTTTTCAATAGAAAAAAAAAAACCTGCTCTATCCCTCTTTTAGTGAAAGTCACCTTGCAGGGATGTGGGAATGATAAGAGCAGAGGGAATCCGATCAGGGCTGGCATCTAGCTGAGGCTTTGTAAAACAATACCCCTGGAACAACTACAAAATTTGGCCACTTTTTGTTTTCCAGCTTTGCATTTGAGCTATAAAAGCAGTCAAGCCAAGCAGTGTCCAGCTCACTTTAGACCTTTACTAAGCAAAACTTTGAGACACTAAAAAGGACTTGGCAAATCCTTTGGAAATAACACACATTTTGTCACCTAATTTACAAACTATTATGACATCAAACTTAATTGTATTGTTTGTTAACAATTAAACTCTTAATAAATTGTTTATTGTTATGAATAAACAATAAATATTGGCATACTGTATATCACTGAGGTTATAATCATAGGCTTACCTCTTGAAATAGTGCAAGAGAAGCTGAGAAAGATGGGAGGAACTGCAACATCTAGTTAGTCTCTGCTTAATAGACCTTCACTCTCCATTACCCACCCACCAGCTCTGAACCCTATTAGAACAAATAGATCCTTTTTTTTTCTGCCTTGATGACTATTAGTATCAGCTACATAATCTGTGGGGTCCAGTGCAAAATGAAAACACACAGCCTTTTATTCAACAGTTATTAAGAAATTTGACAGTGACAGCAAGGCATTAAACAAATACAGGTCGCAAGCCCATACAGGGAGCTCTACTATTAGATGATGTATTTGGCTAGTAAGTGGTAGTAAGAAAAGTACAATACTTCGCTGCTAGATGAGTAGCAGTCGGTTTAATGTGTGTGATTGGGGTGGAGGTGGGATTGTAAAGTCTTAGGACCAACTCTCCCAATCTCCCACTTAAGTTTTTCGAAACTGTTGAACAATAAGTACTTCTGCAGGGCCTGCCATGTCAGTGTGGTGCATGGAACAGCAACGGCGGCAGAAGCATGCGGGAGCTTGTTACAAACGCAGACTGTCAGGGCCCCACCTCAGACCTACGAATCAGAATCTGCATTTTAACGAGACCCCCCAACGAATTCCTGTGGACAACACATACAAAGAAGTGTCGCCATCGAGGGAGCCTCAGAAGACGCTGCCGCCTGCCTCATCTAGGTCTCTGGAGGTCCATCAGCTCTCTTTCTCTTCCTTTATAGTCCCGGAGCCTCGAAACCTCAATTCCCAGTCGAAAAGTGATCACCTGAGACCTCCAGCTTCTTCCTTTCCCCATGCTCACCCGCAGACTCCGGGCTGCCTCTCCATCCCGCTGCACCCCGGGCCACCTGTTCTGGGTCCCTCCAGGCGGTGCTGTGCCAAGCCTTCCAGGGTCCGGAGCGCCTTCACGCTCCTAAGGCTCCGCCGCACCCACTGACCGGAAAGGTAAACTGAGTGCCCGCGAGTCGCGTCTCGAGGAGCGACCGCGAGAACAAGACTCGTGATTCCATTTTCTAGAGGGGTGGGGAGAGTTTGAGGCCGTTTGAAGGCTTTGGGTACACTTGTCACCCCCTCAGAGAACGCGTCTCAGGAGCCCCCTTTCCCACGGCGCCACTCTCCCACTGTCGGGATGTCGGCCCCCGGAGCAAGGCCAATTTGACTCTGCCTTTCAGGGCGGCCTTGGGCCCCGACTCAGAGCCGCAGCTGGGCGGAGGGAGCTATCACCCCGCGGTCCCGTAGCCCTTCAAGTCCAGGCGCTGCGCCGGAGGCGCCCGCGCCAGTCGCCAGCTCCTTGGGCTGGGTCTCGGGAACCCGAGGAGATAGACCCATCCCGGCGCTGTGTGCTTACCTGCCGGTCCCCACAAACGGGCTGGCTACTGGCGCCCTCCTGCTCTCCTTTTCCCCTTTTCTCTCTCTGCCGTCCCTCCTCCCGCCTCCCGGGGGCTGGGCACCGCCCCCGTCCGCCCGCCCGTTATCCAGTTGCCCAGCGGCATGGCGCGTCAAGCACCCGGGGCTGTGAGGCTGGGTGCTGAGGCTGAACGCGGAGGTGGGGAACAGACGGAGGGAGGAGAATATGAGCCTGTGGGCGACCGGCCGAAACCCTGCGGGGAACTAGGGACTGGGGGTAGAGAGAAAAGTGGGACACGGACTGGTTTGTCCACCCCAACCCAGCCAAGGCGCCCGCGGCGCTTCTGGACTCCTTCGACCGTGAGATCCTCAGATGCCAGCTGTCGATCGGCGCTCTTCCTTAGGGACCCCAATCTCTAGAACCAGCCGCTCACCTTTAGGGGTCGCCCTGATACCCTAATGCCTGTTCCACCACTTTCGGCACTGGGATGAGTGGTAACCTGGAGGTCACTCCTCTGCTACAGTATTTCTGATGCAGAGATTGGATGTCAGACCACTTGAAGGGAGATTCCGAAAGATCGGTAAAAAGGAAAACGTCCTGGGAAAGGATTCAGCTGCATGGTTATCTGGTGAAGGACATGTTACACAGGATACCTAGAAACAGGGATCCCCAATACACTGCCTGCTAGGTGAAGTCAGTTATTCCTGGACCCCTCTATCTTTTCTGTCTGTCAGCATCTCCTCTGCCCCTTCATAGAATAAAAATTAGATCTGGATAGGACTTACAGACTACCCAACCAGCTTGTAAAAGTAACCTATGTTACAAAAAAATTAATTAATTTTAAAAAAAAACAACACAGGCCCAGCTCTGTTCTGCATATAATTAGTTGCAGAGACCAGGAAAATAATAAACTCTATGGATTCCTTCTCTGGTGCCTTTTACCACCCCCACAACCCTCTCCAACCCTCCTCTTTATAGTAAAATAACTCCTATATTTGCAAAATGTGTTATCATTTTAAAAGCACCATTCTCTTCTGTTAAAACCTGCAGAGAATATTCCATTTTTTTCTTTACTACCAAAACAAAATTCTAGTTGCTGAATTGCATTCACAGCTCTGGAGAGGATGTTCATAAAGTGCAGATCTGCAGAACACATCCTGGCTGACTCTGCCACATTAGACACAAGGAGGAGATAAATGAATGGAAAGTGTTTTCAGAGAGACTTTTGACTGGTTGGATTAAGGGAGAGTGGAGATCAAGAAGCTCATTCATGTTACATAAAAAGTTCAAGGGACGATTATGATGAGGGGGAAACTGTATTTTAATAAGCAGATTTGATGTTACTACAAAAGGTTAAATTTAACCATTTAGAGTAACTTCTAACACTTGCATATGTTTGACTTATTATGAAATAAATTTCATATTGTGTACAGCTACCAGAACTCTCATATACTACTACTGGAAGTGTAAGTTACTTCAAGCTTTTGGAAAACTATTTGGCAGAATCTATTAAAATTGAGCATACAACTACCCTCTATCCAGCAATTCCCCTTCTAGGAGCACACTCAATAAAAATAATTGTATATGTTTACCAGAGGATATGGGAAAATTCATAGCAGTATATTTGTACTAACCCCAGATTGAAAACTACTGTGTCCATCAACAGTAGAATGGATTGCAGTAGTACAGTCACAAAATGGAAAACCAGACAGCAATGAAAATGCATGAATCACTTCTGTGCTGAGTATACACAAATTTCATAAATAATATTAAGCAATGGAAGTCAGGCATGAAAGCACACATACTACGTGATTCTGCTTATACAAAATATAGAACTGGCGAAACCAATCTATGAAATTAGAAGTCACAATGGTGGTCATTGGGGGTGGGTGACTAGAGGAAGTTACAAGGGAGGTAAGAAAGTTTTATGGGACACAAGTAATGCCCTGTTTCTTGACTTGAATAGATCTATTCACATGGATCTATTAAGTTTGTGAAAATTCATGGTCTGGTCACTTATGATATGTGTACTTTTTTCATCTATGTTTTACTTCAATAAAAAGCTAAAATATGTATAGCTTGTATTAAAAGTTGTTTTAATTTCTACAGTAAAAATGATAGCAATATAAGTATGCTTTTCCTTTAAACAACTTTGCTGGGGTTTTTTTTTTTTTAAGTCACTTTGAGAAAGTATGTCTAAAAAACAAAAAGGAGACATTCCTTAGCTTAAAATTAAAACTTTGTATTTTGATGTACTTCCAGCCAAACTTTTATTCTCTTTGCCACACGCACTCTCAGGTCAACAGCACTCTGCCATCAGGACCCACGGAAGAGTAAAGAGCCTGGGACTGCTGGAGGGCCCCAGCCCTCCAGCCATGGCTCTCTGCATTTTCCATCAAGGGGGTCCTGGTCATATACCTCCTACCTAGGCACTGTGTGGTGACATGAAAGAAGGCTGTGAGTGCTTAAGAATTGCAGTTAAATTTTAGCCAAAGCTTGTGGGCTGATATCCCAGCAACTGGACAGGGGGCATCTTTGATTCTTATCTCAGAGGGTCTTTGAGCTGGTGATAGAGCTTGATCCTGAAGCATTGGTAACTCAGGAAACATGGCAGAGACTGAGTAGGGAGGGCAGAAGGCTTTGTCTCCTTTCCCTCTCCTACTGGTAGACCCCTAAGTATGGGCTTTCAGCAAAGGGAGGTGGCAGAGGAGGACAGCTCACCAGTGCTCAGGGCTCAGCTTTCTCCTTAGAACTTCAAAGGCAACCTTACCTGTGGCCAGATAGTCTAAAATTATGCCACACAATGGTCTCAAACATTATTTTCCAAGGGAAATGAAGAAAAAGAGAATATAGGACTTGGGTGCAAGTCAAAACAATGGAATAAGGAACTTGAATGAAGATGATGATGATGATGATGATGGTGATAATGATAGTGATCATTGTTAGCATTATAGATACTGTGTGCCAGGCAAGTTAGCTTTTTATATACTTTATACTTTGTTACTAAGTCTTCATGGCAATCCACTGAGGATTGTTCAGCTGAGGAAATTGAGGCACAGAGAGGTTAAGTAGCATCTCTCAAGGTCAACAGCTAGTAAGTAGTAGAGCCAGGACTGGAATCAGTGGGAGTATGACTTTCAAATTCTCTCTGTCTTAATGACTGGGTATGAGAGGTGGAATGTTGGGATGGCTAAAGAACCAGATGAAGAATGAGGAAATGAGGGGTTTGGTGTTTATCAGATTTTTCACTAACTTATCAATGTAGTTACTAAGACTACACTGAATCTGGCTCTCAGTTTCCCCATTTGTAATATAGTAGGGGATGGCAAGGTAAATCTAAACTTCAGTAGTAGTGCCAAGGATTGGATTGATGTATTTTAGGCCCCCTATAATCTCCATCAAGTTTCCAACACCAAAAATAAAAGGTCTCTTACAATGTAGCATGCAGTACTAAACAAACAGAACAAGAAAAATCCCCTAGCCACCATAGCCTCCACTTCCCACACAATTATCATCAGACCACAATACCTGAATTATCTTTTATGGAAATTCTAAAGCTGTCACTGCTCAGAAATCATTCATTCATTCATCAAACATTTATTTTATGCCTATGGTATCAATGAGGATAGCCCAGGTTATGCCACAGTAACAAGCAGTTCTCAAAATCTGCATGATTAATGCAACAAAGGTTTATGTCTTACACTACATGTTTATTGTCGGTTGGAAGGGGGCTGTACTTATTGCAGTCACCCAAGGACCCAGGCTGACTGAGTAGTCACCTTCTCAAACGTTGCTGGTTGCTAAGCTGGAAAGAAAAGAGCTCTGGACCACAAGTATTTAAATGCTCCAGCCCAGAAGTGATGTATAACACTTCTGCTCCCAACTCTTCAGCTGTAACTGTTTACATAGTTGCACCCAGGCACAGAAAATGCAGCCTACGGGACTGAGGAAATACAGCCCTATAAGAACCCAGGAGGTGGATACATAGAAATATTGGCAAAAAGCACTGATGACTACCAAACTCACTATGTGTCAGATCCTGGGCAGATGAAGATGGGCAAGAAGTGGTCCCAGCCCTCCAGGCACTCACAATCAAGTCAGAGAAGTATCTGGCGACATGATTTCATCCCCTGTGTTGTAGGCTTTCGTGGATCTAGTGAAAGACCAATCACTGCCAATGTGAGTGAAGTCACGGTGTGACACAGCAAAATTTTTTTCCAGAACATTGAGCTAGCTGTAATGGTGGTAAACCTATTGCACAATGAAGGAGATAAATAAATCACACATTCTCCTGGGAGGCAAAAAGACTCTCCTTGTGAAAATACTGAATGAAGACAGTTGGGCATGTTGTCATTCTGGTCGATGAAAGTTACGAATGACAGTTTAATGAAAAATGAAACCAGACTTTGGCCTTGACAAAGATGAGGATGGTGGGACCAGCCCTTTCAGAGAATGTGTTCCAAGTTGGGAAAAGCTGAGTGTGGCCCTGTGCCAACACAAATAACCCGAGGATCCAGAAGAAACGAAATTCATCTCAGTAGATCTGCATGCTGGCATTAGCTTGTGCAACTCACCACCACCCTGCCTGCGTGGAGCAATCCTAGGGTAGAGACTGGGAAGGAAAACAAACCCATTAGGCTCTTCAATAGTGAGACAGGGGACAACTTTCTGGGCCAGGCTACATCCAACTCATTCTTAATTGAAGGTCTCTGAACAGCGATGACCCTTTTTGTTTCTTGGAGGAACCCATTCAGTCCCGACCATGTGATTTTAAACCAAATTTCTTGGTTTACCTGTCTCTGAAACCACAGGGCATATTTTAGGGTAGAAATTCTGGATAGACATACCTCTATAGTACCTAGTTTGTCTTATGTCTACTTTCCCCTTTGGAGAAGATATTTTGAGGTTACGCAAATACTCTGTTCCTCCTCCCATTAATTTTAGCATCCATCAAGGGATCATGCTTGCATTTCCCTCATTCTTTCTATCAATATTTATTTTGTTGTCACATTTTCTTGGCTTCAGTCATTGTGATCTCTTTCAGGTTGGCTCCTGTGTCTCGTCCTTTTTTTTTTATAGCATTTC